TTCTCTTCTTTGTAACGATTTCCCATCTGTCCGCAATTCCAACAGCGAATCGGTCCCCCCTTCTTGCTCATATACTGATCCAGTACTTTCCGCACAATCCTTTCCACTTTGGAATCGTCGGAACTCTCCTCAACAGCCCGTACAAATCCTAGAGACCTAGAGCATTCTTTCGCGGCCTCAAATTCCAGGGCACGTGCTAGGGCATCTCCCAAATGCGTTGGATGAGCTAAAAGAAGTGTTTGCCTTGTCTCGTTGTCACGTAAACCATCAATAAAAGCCTGTACTGTTAAGCGCTCCATAACATTTTCGGGCATAGCAGGGTACGCAAGGCGAACGAGGCGGGCTACGTCGGCTTCAAACTCCTGCAGAGACTCATTTGACTTTTGAATGCGATTTTTTAGCTGGGAATGATAGACATGTTCCAAATGAGCTTGGCCGTACCTCATTTCTAAATGTCGTACCAATTGCTGATAATCTCCCTGTTCCGATGGTGACAGTGTCTGCAGGATATCAGTCGCATCTCCTCGCAGTGCGACAGTCAAAGCGGTAGCCTTTTCAGCGATTGTCCATCCGTTCGCTCTCGCAGCGGCCTCAAACTGGCAAAAATAATTGGCCCAAGCGGTTTTCCGTCAAACTGTGGAGGCTTAATAACTGACTTTGAGATATACTTGTTTTCGACTAGTTTCGGTGCCTCCGATGTTTCTTGACATTTTGGTGAATTGGCCTTTTCTATTTCTTTTTGTTTTAAAATTTCGATTTTTTATTTTACATCGTCCTCAATTTGTGTTATTTTTGTCTTGTAGCTCCGTAGAATTCTCTATAATCTTTTCTTCTAATTCCTGGAATTTTCTGTTATCTTTTCTTCTAAATTAAGTATTTTATTATTAAAAGCTGGCCTGTATGTCTTTTAGAATTTTCTGCGATCTTATCTTCTAAAATATTAATTAAATCCTGGGAATTTTTTCATCATTTTATCTTCTAAATTATTCAAATTGCCGTTTAAATTGTCTTGCAATTCCCGGGAATTTTCTGTAATTTTGTCATTCAAACTGTCTTCTAATTTTTTTGTAGGCACGAGTCAAGGTCACCTTCAACTCGAAGCAAAATGTGTCAGGATCCTCACCTTCCTCAATCAAAACGTCTCTCAGTCTGGCTTGCAAAATGCTTTTCTTTCCATCTGTCTCGCACTCTCTCTCTTCCAATATACATTTCAGTTCGGACACTTTCAAGTCTTCAACAATTTTTTCGAAGCCATTTTCAGTCTTTTTATTTTTCTAGTCTATCACACACGCCACACTTGACACCAATTGTTACGTTTTTCGTCGGTTCCGTGTGGATAGAAAGTCACAATTTATTTAAACACTATTTATTTAACACTAATTTACAAAAACAATAACGATAAAAGACTTATAGAACTATTTACAAACGATTTATAACTAAGAATTTATTTTGAATTTTTGCGCGTCAACTGCACTGGTATATTTATAACTGCCCTCTCTAGGCCACTGCCGCCGGCTTTTATACCTACAGCAAAAGAAATCTAGAATAGTCCATAGATCGTTAGGCGCATAGAGAAGATTTTCGAATGTTCTCGTATGTACTAGTCCATTCTAGTGGGTCTCGATTCTTCTCGAACGAATGAATCATTGCGGTGTCTATGCGATGTTAAGGTCATCCGAGGGCGGGCCATATTGTGAGGTTAGGTCGAGTCCACACCGGCTCGCAACAATATAATCATTCCAATAATAAAATAATTAATAATAGCTTATATTTATTCCCTTTTTCTGAAGCCGAATTATTTAACTTAATAAATACAAAATTAAAAAATAAAAAATCGGCAGGTCCTGATGAAATACCACATTTATTTTACCTAAGGTATCAGCAATAATCTCAGTACCATTAACTTTTCTCATAAATATGTCTTTCAACTCTGGAATATTTCCTGAAGTACTAAAGACGGGTAAAGTATCACCAGTTTTTAAAAAAGGTGACCCATTATCTGTTGATAACTATAGACCTGTGACGATTTCCTCTAGTATATCCAAGATTTTTGAATACAGTTTTTTAGATAGGCTACAGCCATTTTTGACCAAGTTTAACGTAATTCCTGAAAGTCAGCATGGATTTGTTAGAAATAAATCTACCATAACAGCATTAACATGTTTTTACGAGAAAATTGTGAAATTTGTGGAAGCAGGCGAATGTCCTATTGGAATATTTTGCGATCTAAGTAGGGCATTTAACTGTATCGATCATAAAAAAATGATACATAGGCTTGAGAACTCTGGAGTGCATGGCTGTGCGTTTAATTGGCTTAAGACTTTTCTGATAAATAGACATCAGTACGTCCAGTTATCGCACTTTGAAAATGGCAATTCTAAGCAGTATAACTCTAATACTGAATATGGGAGTCCCACAAGGTTCAGTCTTAGGGCCTGTGATGTTTTTAATTTATGTTGCCGAAATGGATTTATTTTCATCATTGGCACATATAAAACGGGCCACAGATTATACGATTTATCGTACTACAAGTTGTACAACATCAAATCGTTTCACCGTTGGATCAATGGTTGAATAGTTAGTGGCTTTGTAGTACTACTTGTACTAAGACAAAGTTGTATCGTACGGAAGTATGGCATGCAGAAAATCTGTAGTACAACGCAGTAGTATATACGATAGATTTGATGGTTTGTGTGCAAACCCTATGTGTCGCAGACAGATCGTTTACATTTTTCGTTGCACATGGTTAAACAATCTCTTAAAAATGGATACCAACGAGAAGTTTTTGGGCGGAATTTATAGAAATTTATCATAATCAACCTTGTTTGTGGGATGTGAAAAGTAAGGAATACCTAAATAAACAAAAAAGAAATGCCAGTTATGATATCCTACTGGAAAAATTAAAAGAAATAAAAGCAGATGCTACAATAGAATTCAAAATGAATGGAAAATAAAACTACTACTTGTTGGTGATTAACATCAAATGGTAGTTTTAGTTAGTGAATAAACGCGGATCCGATCTGTCGTTCCAGCGGTTTTATCAACTTGTCGTACGACATGTAGTACGACGAATCGTATTAATGTGTGGCCCGTTGTAGTTTAAGTTTGTGGACAACAGCGCGTCCGATATGTCGTTCAAACGGTCGAATCAAATTTGTGTTGTACAACCTGCAGTACGATAAATCGTATAATGTGTGGGCCGTTTAACTGTTTATGCGGATGATACATCAGTTATACTATCCGATTCTGTGGATAGCGTTTTGGAAAAAAAAATGTACGGATTTTTTGCAAAATTTGCATTCGTGGTTTAGTGACAACTCATTATTTTTTAACACTGAAAAAACAACATACATGAGATTTCATAATCGTCAAAAAAACTGTGAAAAAATTTTAATATCACTTAATAACGCTGTCTTACAGCAGGATATTGTAGTAGTGTAAAATTTCTTGGTTTAATTCTAGACGAATGTCTTACATGGAATCTTCATTGTGAAAACTTATTACCAAAATTAAATTCTACATTATATTTTTTAGAAATCTCAGAGATATTATATCTAAACAACAATTAACAAATATATATTACGCATACGTCGAATCAAGATTACGCTATGGCATAATACTGTGGGGAACATCCACTAGGATTCGGGAGGTTTTCACTGTCCAAAAAAAATACTTAGGTGTATTGCTCGTGTTTCTCCAAGGCAAACTTGTCGAGATTTATTTAGAGAATATAAGTTACTAACTTTGACGAGTATCTTTATTCAAGAGCTATGTATATTTGTTTATAAACACCAGCATAAATATAAACTAATTTCTGAAGTCCATAATTTCAATACAAGAGCTAATCATAAATTTTATGAAATACCATGTCGTACTAATGTAATGTTAAATTCACCACAGTGTTTAGGATTAAGAATGTTTAATTGCTTATCAACTGAATTTAAATTATGTAAGAATATAAATGTTTTTAGAAATAAGTTGAAAATTTTTTTATTAGAAAAAGTATATTACAACATAAATGAATTTTTTATGGAAAATGTATAATAAATTGTTAAAATCATACGAAGAAAAAAGAAAGATATTGTTTGTATCAGTATTTTTTCGTTTTCGCATAGATGCATAAGTAAAAGGTTTATTATTGTATTCGTTTTGACTATTCTATCACAATTTTATATTGTAATTTAGAAATAAAGTTTATTGTTATTATTATTATTATTCCAAGGAAAAAACTTCATATGAATGTACGAACATCTTAACTTTTCAGATACAGGGTTGTAAAATTTTCTAATTTTTTCTTTCAAAAATTCTCTGATGGTATATTAAAAATAATATTTTTATAAAAATCAAGAGATAAAAAATGTTTAGAAATGAATGGACATTTTGAAAATAATTTCTATTTTAAGAGAAGTCAGTGGTTTACCACTTTTTTTCCAAAATATGAAATGTAAAACTCGTATGGACGGCACTGGTTAAAATAAATAAAATCAAGTTTCATAAAGATATCTGTAATAAAATCAGAGTTATGATGAAAAAAAAATATTTTTTTTTTAGAAAAATTTGCCACCCTGTATTTTAGAAATTATTAATTTTTTCTGCCATTTCTGGTTGTTTTGACTTGAGGGAAATTATATTGATTTAAATCAATTTACTGACTTAACTTGCAGATTATCATGATTTAAGTAAAAAAAGACTTAACGTTATATTGATTTAAGTCTTTACAAAAATGACTTGACTTGAAAGAAAATGACAAGACAAAAACTTAAAACTCAACGACTTTTACTTACGTCATTCGAACTTTATATTGAAATTGACTTAGACTTAAATCATTTTGATTTTAGAAATGACTTAAGACTTGAGTCTTTTTAAAACTGACTTGCTGCAGCTCTGCCTGGTACAACATACAAATATGCCCTGGTACAACTTAAAATACTCTGTGAACTCTGTACATTCAATTATATTTCTAATGCGAAATAAAATAATTAATATTTTTATATTTGCAGAGAAGAGCAGCCCCTTATGAATTACCAGCTCTTGACGAAGACAAACCATACAAAGTGGTCGGTACGTTGAAAAAAAAGGTAGATAATTAAGTGGAGGTCGTTCAAATAGGTATTAATCTAATGTTACTATAAAATTACCAAATATAATTTAAGTAAAAAAAAATGTAAAATAATATGTCGTGCATGTTATTTAGTCATTTTCTTTACATACATCAGTCTATAAGTACCATAATATACTATCTAGTCATTAGTTTCACTATATGTTGTGAAAATTAAAGTTACAACATATTTTTACTAGTTTTGTGACTGATTTATTGAAAGACTTATTTATAATTATTATTTAATTAATATTAATGTCTTTTTTAATTGCTACTTCGTTCCATTGTGTATAATTTAACTTTGAAAAAATGATAATGTCAAAATACTTCTCTACCTATAAAACTACCTAGAGTCTCATTAGGCATAATTGTCACTTATTCTCGCTATATCATTTAATAGTCTATATATTTTTTATACAGTTTTATTTTTTATTATTACTGAAATATTGAATATATTATTTTTTAATTTGGTGTTATCTTGTAAGAATTTTTCTGTTTATTTTTAAAGTTGTGCCATCAGCATAATTAGATTTAGTTGTCGTGATAATATTTATTTATATAATTTATTTGCTTCTTTTCTGTTTCTGTTTTTTTTTCGACTTTTATAATGTTTTACCCTTAGATCTTATAAACTTCGCGGATAAAGCTATGCCAACGACTTTGTTTACGGGACTTTCACATGCATTTTTCTATTTATTTCTTTCTAGAACAAGATTATCGTATAAACCTATCCTTCTCTCTGAATACGCTACTGAGCATGCGCAGAACGATATTACGTGTATGCTAACTTGGGGCGTTTTTTCGCTGCGTTGACTACAATTACTAAAAATGTAGACCATTAAAAATTTTTAATCAAGATATATAACTGATACTGATTTATTTATTATTTTGGAAATATTTGTCATATTATCTCAGTATACTTTTTATATAAATTTTAAACAAAAATTAAATCATATAAGGATAAATTCTTTTTTAAAAATGTTTTAAAATACTACTTTGAAAAATAGCTATGATGAATGGGCAACACATAGAACTCAGTAACCAAGGAAACATTAAAATATGTTTTGACATTGAAAACTCAAAACAATAAGAAATTAATGCTTGATTACTGCCACTTTTTGTGCTTTTTGTATACTGTCTGACCCATGATATAAAGAATATCCCACATACTTGATTTGGATTTCCGACGATATTTTAGATTTGTGTTCTTTTTGAAAGTGGATAAATTGGTGGATAAATAGACATTATGACTGATAAAAGTGTTAGCTAATTATGTGAAGCTGTCCGCAATAGGAAAAATCTTATCCTTAAAAGGACTCAACAACACTAAAAGTATGAAAACCTCTGTAAAGTATGTTCCATATTTTCAAAAACCAAGATATGTGTTATTTAAAATCGTTTTTTAAACCGACTTTTATGCAGTGAAATATATATTTATGTTAGGTAACTTAATCACTTTAAACATTATTAGGTAATTTACCTTTTTTTTATTTTTTTCTTTAAATAATTGATATACTAATAAATATTATCCAATAAATAATTAATATTCGAATAACAATATATTTTATGTCATAAAAATGACATATGCCCAAAAGAAAGACAGGCGATTGGTCAATCTGTGTCAAAGACAAAGGTAATCAGAGAGTCGAATGTCGCTGACGTGTCTTCAACAAAAATGAAGCGCATTTACTTATCCCCGAAGTTTATAAGATCTAAGGTTTTACCAAAGAAATGGCGTAATTGGAAATATTAATTATTATACAGGGTGAGTCTTAAATAAGTGCAAGTATTTTCAGGGCTGGTAGATCTCGATAAAAGAAACATATTTTCTCTTTACCATTTTTAAGATAAGTCCAAAATAAGCGAGTTATATAAGCTTGAAAATTTAAAAAAATATAATTTTTTTGGAAAAAATTTTGAGAGCCACCGGATTTTTTTCTGTATTTACATCCATTTTAGTGCCGTAACCATGGAGTAAAGCCGTAACTATGGTAATATCAGATATTAAAACGGCCTACACACGTAACGATTTATCGTACTGCATGCAGTACGAAGTACGATATCCATCGAAACTGCCGCATTAACGATAAATCGTAGCATGTGTAGGGAAATTGGATGGTTTGCAGTATACAGTCGTCAAATCGTTTGCAGTACGGAGCTTCCGTAAAATATCGTATCAACGGGTCGTGTCTGGGGTGGGGTTTGAACGCGTTGAGTGTATTCCCTGCCGCAGCGCGCAGTTACAATATAGTTTTTATTTATTTTTGGTTTAATCAATATTATGGATTTTAAAAATAAGACGTTCTGGGAAGACTTTATTGATTTATATAGAGAAAATAGATACTTATGGGACGTGAAATCAAAAGATTATGCAAATAAAATGAAAAAAAAATTCTTTCTCTCCAGCAACCACTTTTTACACCATTTCGCTTTTTGATTTCTTTTTGTTCATCATCTTCATCTATCAGCAATACCGCAGCTACAAGCACGGCAGCTTTCTTCTTTTAAATTCTTGACATAACGGTAGCCCTTCTCGACGAAAAGTGAATAATCTGAACTGCGGCAGTACAATGTGTTGCATCGTGTGTACAAAAAATGACTGTACTGCAAGCCGTACGATTTTCTTTACGATCTGCAGTTCAACGCGCACTACGATAAATCGTTACGTGTGTAGGCCGTTTAAGAAATTATACCGTGAGAAAATTTGAGGTGAACAGGCAGTTCTAAAAAGTTTTCGAAAAATATACAGGGAAATTTAACAGAAAATGCACGATTTTCAACATCTTTTTTTGCGAAAAAAAACTCATAGATGTGTTCCTGGGGTCGAATGAAAATATTTGCACTTATTTAAGACTCATCCTGTATAATTACATTGTTATATACACAGGGCGTCCAATATTTCGTGGTCATAGAACTACATATACTACAAAATAAAAAACTAAATCACCACAATACACCAAAACACTTTTACTTTTACACTGGACGCGCGTTTCGCTAACCATGTTAGCATCATCAGCAGAATTGCAAATATTGGTTTATAATCATCTGCTGATGATGCTAACATGGTTAGCGAAACGCGCGTCCAGTGTAAAAGTAAAAGTGTTTTGGTGTATTGTGGTGATTTAGTGTTTTTATTTTGCTGTGTAACACCAAAGGTTCCAACCCTCAACTGTAATCTACATATACTACGCATTTTGGAATCAAAACAAATTCATTGGATACAATTTACACATAAACAAAAGTGCTTTGTTTGTCAGTTAGATGGCATTAAACTTTAATACGATAAACACATTTTTAAAGAAATTTTAAGAACCGTTATTCCGATTTCAATAAGATTTGGCGTGCCTATGTTTTGCTAACTACTTTAACATTAATTTGACTTTCACAAAAATCATGAGCACGGCAAGGGTGAAATCCGTCCCCTACATAAATTTTAATAGAAATATTTTCCAACGCCATCGACGACAGAGTTTTTTTTTCTAAAATGGTCTTCCTAGTATTTACTATATTTTTCGTCTCTTGTAAAAAACGCCACATCGCATAGTTTTTGAACAAAGAATTGTAGATTTTTTTCCAAAGCAGACCTACATAATATACCGGGAGTTCCAATATTCCGTGGACATACAACAACTACGTATTTGTTGAATCAAAATAAATTAATTACCCACAGCTACATTATTGTAGCATAATAGATTTTATGCGCCTCCATAACTTAATGTGACAAAAAACATTTTTTGGAGTCAGCTTTGAAAAAAATTTTTTTTTTTTTCTGAAAAAGTATGCACAGTGGCGATTTTTTATAAGAGACAAAAAATGTAGTAAATACTAGAGGGACCATTTTACAAAAAGAAAATCGGCTGTCAGTGGCGTTGGAAAATATTTATACTAAAATTTATGTAGGGGTGGGGGTAGTTTTCACCCTTACCGTACTTTCTTGATTTTTGTGAACGTCAAATGTTAAAGCTGTTAGGAAAATATAGGCACCTCAAATCTCATTCAAGTCAGTTCTTTGAAAAAAAAATGTTCTGTATAATGAAAACCCTGTATAATGGACAAATCCTGGGACACCCTGTATAACCACCAATATCACTTTCAGAATCTTAAATAATGCTATAATTCATTGATAGTACAATAATACTACTATTTTTAATACATCCTATTTTATTGCATTTTGTAGATTTTTTGTTCTGTGATATTTGTAGATTTTTTTTATTGTATAATAAATTGTAAGCAAAGATAATACATGTATTTTTATACTATCCAAATAATTGCCTACATATAAACCAATATAAATTAAGGTAAAGGTGTGGATCCGGTGGCTGACCTTGAAGCCCATATTTGCTGCATTTGATCATCGATACTACGCAAGCGCACATCGTCGATGTTGCCAAATTGAGTTTATTTTCGAATTATGTGCAGTTGGAAATTTTTTTTGAGTGTTAATAATAATACATATTCTATAATTAATTTTATAGTTTCAGATTTATCTTGATATCCAAAATTAAGGAATGATATATAAAATTGAATATATAAAATTGTAATAATAATAACATTTATTTATATATTTACATTAGAATTAAAAATTATCATTTACGGATTTTTTCTTAATGGTTTTAAACTTATTAGAATTATTTTATTTCTTTCAAGTTATTTAATTTCTAGTTATTTACAGGCAACAATAGTTTTGATTATATGTATCGATGTATTATGAAGTACTAAGTACTACCATGACGAGTCTTATATAGAACAATACACGTCAATGGGAGATAGAGGTAACATTTTACTTATAATGTTACTAATATAATATACTTTGATTATAATGTTTGTATCATAATTTCTTAAAAATATCAAGTTAGTGGATTAATAGCAATTTTAGACATATATTTTATCGAAGAGTGTGGTGATAAGACTTATGTTTTATCTTTTTCTCTTTAGAAGGGAGATAGTTTGTGTCGTAAAATATATTACAGTATTTAATATCGTGCACTTTGATATTCTTTTCTTAATTTACTGTAATTTCTTGTTTCCTATAATGCCAAATCTTCACAATATGGTGAAAGTTGAGTTTTGATCTTATTAGTTTTATATCTGTGTTTATACAAGACCAAATTAAGACTTAGTTAGTTTGTGAGTGTGTCATTAACATCTTTCTTATAATACTTTTTGTCTTACTTAATACTATATTATGCTTTGTCTGGAAAATAAATGTTAAAATGTCATAATTTTGCATATCCTATTCCATCCTTCCATTAGGAAAAATATGGTTTATAAATCATATATGCTAAGAAAATCACATAAATTAGGTGTAAGAATAGAGAAATCTTAAGGTGGTAGGTGGTAGAAAAATTAATGCAATATATGTATAAGCAGAATTAAACAAGGTAACTGTTAATGTTGCTGAAGCTGATTCTACAATTTTAATTACGGAGGCTAAAAGGCCTTTTAAGGCCTCCGTAGTTTTGATGGAATGTTAAAAAAACTATTATGGACATGACATGGCGCTACAGCATTTAAAAATTAAAAAAAAAAGAAAAAACTTGGACACATCCCTTTTAATTTCCCGAATTTTTAATAAAGCCCTTTTTAAACGTAGCATAATCTAGAGCAATTAGATTAATTATAGGAATCTAGAGTTTTATTTCTATTTAATTTTATTGACTATGAAAATACATAAGAAGCGTTCACGTGTTGTGCGAAATATTAAAATAATAATATAAATAATATACCGGGCGTACTATGATTGAAAAAAAAAAATAGCGTCAGCGATGACTATGAAATGAAGATCGCTGTCATTTTATATGGGAAATGTCCTCAATCGTCATTTCCCAGCCAACTGGACGCCGTTTTTTCGATCATACGGTATATATTGACAAAAAAACATTGAAAAGTACATATTTGTTTTCTACTGAAAATAATTCCAAAATAACTTGCAAACTGGCAACATCGAAGATGTACGCATGCGTAGTGTCTGTGACTATATGCAGCAAACATTCGTTTCAAGGTCAGCCACCGGATCCACACCATTACCACGGCATATAAATCACACGGCAGGCCGACTCGCTTTGGCGGGAACGCTACGCGCATACCCTTGGGCACGCCGCCATTATGGGTGCCAGCGACAGAAATTAACCAGTGTCGTAGCCAGTCGTAGTCACAGAATATACTAACGAAAAAGAAGCCCAAGTTCCTTGTAATAAATCGGTTCCATTTTCGTAACGCCATCTCTCGACATAGCTGACATTATAGGTTAGCCAAAGGGGTGCGGGGCCGGGGGGAAATGTAAAATACACTTTTTTATTTTAATTATTTTTATTCGCTATTTGCAATTTGATTTTTAAAACATATAATGTGAAACAATCACATAATATGTCTTAAAAATAAAATTACAAACGGAAACAAAAGGAATTAAATAATCTGAAAATCTACAAAGTTTATTGATAAAAAAGTTAGGCTATGCAAATTGATAAGTATATTAAGTATAACCTCTTTGGTATAACATTGTTAAACATTAACAAATCATAACATATCAGATCATAGAACTAAAAAAAGTACTATTACATAAAAACAGGTAATACAATACTTCAAAATTAATTTTAACATAATATCAAAACCGAAAAATCAAACTGCAAACACAACCACACTTATCACAACAGAAATTAACACACACTTCCGCGGCAAATGTCCAAGAAAGACTGATCATTCTGATTTCTGATTGGTCCTGGTCCGGTCGTAGCTCACGTCGTATTGTCGGTAAGCAAAATCCCTGTCCAAAAATTTTGACGATCAGCGCCATCATCCGTCATAATTGGGAAACTTTTGCTGGAACCATTTTT